TCTTACAAATACAAGGTGGCAGATTGACTCTGCCCATTCCTCACCATGATCACTTGCATCAAGGAGAAAGCTGTAAAATAAAATAGTTCAGATTTTGTTTGGCGTGTTATATATAAATTGTTCATTTTCATAATTTCTTTGTTTCTCTTTAATTTTCGTTTGACCAACTGAATTTGTTATTTAAATGGGGCAGGGTTGTTGGTGAGTAAGTGTGCATTAACAAGACAGCAACCCAGGACTCGAAACTCTGAATTCAGGGAAAATTCAAAACAGCAACCTCCCGAGTTGGAGAATTTTTCAACCAATTGCAGACATCAACTTTGTTCTAGAGAGGTATGACACGAAGCAAATATCACACAAATGCTGACCATCGTATGGTAACGGCCAAGCCTGCTCTGAGGGGAAGATAGGAAAGTTTTGTCCAAGTGTAAGTGTCTACCTGTGGAAAAATCCATAGGGACAAGATGGTGTGAAGACACTCATTTGCATTGTTTGTGATAGGAAATTTCAATACCTATGATTAACATCAGATTTTATTCATTATTGTGAACCCCGGATATCTGGGTAGACAAAAGTTTCATTTCTGCATGGCCTTGATATTATTACTACTATTGAATAATAATCATGACCATCATGATGAATATTTAATAGATGGAAGCATACACATACAAGGAAATGATTAAGTAGCTAAGTCATGTTCATTTGTTTTGTCTTGTTTTGTTTTATTAAAGATATATTATATTTAAAATATATAATTAATTTTCGATTATACATCTGTAAAACTAAGACTAATATAAATATATAAAAGAACGGTTGAAGTTTTTTATGCAACCAATTCCCCTGTTTGTATTTCCTTTATCAAGATTTTCATAATAAACTGAACACAAACTTTACATACATTCTTAACTTAATGCTAATAATATAACATAATTAATTATTGCGGAATATTTCACAACTCGTTTCTTCTCTAATAACACTGACCCTATCACAATTAATTATTCCTCCTTCATAACTACATCCATCATCTCTACTTCATCGGAACTTTCCTAGTTCTCTTGAGTATCAAAAGATGATGATTATCGTCTCCAATTAAATCAAAGATGTGTAATAAATATATCTAATAATTTGTAAAAACAAATGACGCAAAAATTAATATGATTGTTAAAGATATGGCATTTAATGCTATCACTCCGTAAGCAAATCAACCTAAAGGTGGAAACTTTCCCTAAAAGAAATATGTTGATTTTTGCATATATTATATAGGATGTGTAGCAACTTCTTTGTCTTTTTGTGCTGCATAACCAATGACTCCTTCAGTTTCAGTAATTGCGTCTTCATTAGTTTCGATAATTTTAAAGCCTGCAGAAGCAATTGTCTGTTGCTCCTGAAATAATTTCTTTTCCATGTTCATAGGTTTCTATTATTTCTGATTCTAGCTGTTTCGTTGTTCTCCTGCTTTTCTTGTTAATTAATTAAAAAATATTGTTAGTAATACTGTAATTAATGGATAGTAATTTCCAATTAATAATGAAATTTTATTCACCTTCAACATTTAAGAGAAGAGAGTTAATATCAATGCTAATTAATGAACTATCATTACTTGTATAACTTTTAAGTTATTTGATTTAGAAATTTCTTCATCTAATATTCTACTTAGATGATATGCATCTGAGTGTGATTTGTGTATTTGTTGTGAATCACTCCCACACTCCTGCTGCTACTATCATTATTTAAAATCAATTTCATCGTTTAAAATGACTATTCCGAAATTATGTAATAAGCCATCCCTGTTTCTCACGAATTACATCCAGTACTTTAAACTCAAACAGAGCATAAAACAGATATCCCCAGGTCATGTAAGCCCCCTCCCGGTAGGGAGGGGCCCGCCAAGGTTTTCTGGGTATTTAGTTATGTCAAAGCAAGGAACAATCATTGGTGATTTAATTTTGCAAATTTATTGCCTGAAAATAAATGTAATATTATGTTGTGTTGTTTATTTCGTTTAAATGACAACTACCAACCTCATAAAAAACCCTTTTCCTGGATTACTTGAATTACCACTAGCTTTCCTAAATAACTAACTCCTTTTTATTTTCATCATAATCAATTATTGCATCATACAATTTAAAAATAGTAGAGCAACTTGAAATACAAACAATGAAGGATTGCCAACACCACCATCAAATTCAAATATAGGTCATAGGTTATAAAGAAGTATTGCCATGAATTCATTTATTTTAAAAATGAAATGTTGATTAAAGCTTTGTATTTGCTTAATAGACAAGATGATATGAGTAAATCACATTCTTTCAAAATGAGGAAGATTGATCACTTCATTTTAACATATAAAATTTGAAAATACTTTAATTTCCAGAATATTGCAAGGGAGACAAGATGATGTAGCAATGGAAAACTAACTGACTTTTACAATCTAGCTTGACTTTTTGCTTTTATAGGCTTCTAGGGTGGTGAAAGCAGCTAGAAAAAAATTGATTTACAGATAGTATGTCTTGGAAGTGTTATTGAACTTAGTCATTCAGAATGTGTATACAAAATAAAATAATCAAGGACTGAGAGCAAACCATTCCAAACCAGGGTTTGGTAATAGAATGTGTCCATTGAGGCCTGGATCCAATTGACCATCAATGGACTGGTATCATGGTCAACCCTGCTCCAACCAGCAAATGCATACTCAATAGTTATCTAATGCATAACTTCAGTGCAATTGGGCTCCAAAGCTAGTAAGGCCCTTTGTAAATGTTTTTGTCATATATTCATTCACAATAATTGCTGTTTATGGTTCTTATTACTTTAGTTACATACAGATTAAGATGAATTATTGGAACCGGTTCCAACCTCTAGTTTGTATACACATGTGTATATGCATATTTGGATAATTAAGAATAAATTATATAGTTATTATTATTTATTGTTATTAGAAGATGATAATAAAATCAATTCCCTTTCTATATCTGAAAATATTTTTATGCCAGATTCTAATGAATCAATTAAAACTTCCAATCTATTTGAATCAAGGTTTTGTTCCTATTTAAATATCCAAAATTTAAATTAAAAGAAAATATTTTTTAAATCTTTAAAAGCTCAAATAATATCATTATTAATTCCCAAACCTTTCTGATTTTATCCAAGTCTTCACCAAATCCATTTGTTAATTGTGACATATAATAATCACGAAAGTTTTCAGTAGTTGGTGAATAGTCTAGTAATGGGCTTGGTATC